AAAACCACTTCGGACTCAGCTCCATCTCACTCCGGAGCTGAGTCCGAAGTGGTTTTTAGTCGCGCAGTGTGAGCATACAGATCGCATGAGAGCGTCGGGCCGAACATAAATCATGAGCTGCTGCTCACACTGTCCGACTAAACCCTGCGTTCAGTCGGACAGTGTGAGCAGCAGATGCCTGCATCGATTGAAAAAAAAAATCACACAGTGTACGCCGGGCTTTAAGCTGGATAGGCTGGGAGTAATCCTGGGTGGGTTGAGCTCACTTTGTACAAGCCTCAGGTGGTGGTGTTGTAGTAAATATGTACAAAGTGCTTTATTCACTAACAAACAGAGCAAAACCAAAGTAAAACACAGAAATAGAATAAAATAAGTCAACCAGCTGTGATCATTTAATCAGGATCAATATAATATAATATAGCAGTTTTTTAACAATATATCAATGTTTTATTTATTTATTTATTTTTTTTATTATTATACCAAACAGGTCCTCTCTATTGAACCCTGAATGACCCACTGACATGTCTTCATGTTTTGCATCTTTGTCCTTCTTGTGGCTTCATTTTAACACCACACTAGTTTTGAGAATAAATAATGCTTATTACTTAACTTTCCTACCCATGCTATGTTTTCTGTATAACCTACAAATTCTTACTTTTAGACTAAAAACAAAACAGGAAAATAAACTATTTAAGTCTTTACAGAATATTTTATTAATTAGGTGATTTGTCAACTGCTTTCTGATGATGAGTCCAATGTAGAAATTAGATAAAATCATAGGAAAGACTTTGATAAAAGCTTTTATAAACTATACGTAGTTTGACTAATAGTTTTAATGAATAACTAACTGGATCAATCACGTAATTGTTATATGAAAGAAAGTGAGACTAAAATGTAGCTCTAACAAGTTTGGGCAATGCTCCAGAACCTGCAGACTTTCGATTAAGGAGAAATGGGTTATTGAGCATGAAGGAGTCTGAGAAAAATTAGATCAGTGATCAATAATGGGCTGGAACAGGAGTTTGAAAGCAAGATGCTGGAAAAATGATTCTGTCAAACTTTAAGGTGAAGATATTTCCCTTTTCAGGAACTTTTGAATGAAATGGTCAAGGATTTTTGGCTTGGATGCCTATGTGGCCTGATTGATTTGATCCTTGAGCACTGGTTTCTGTAGGGCTGTGATCCAGGACAGGAGATCACTATCCCAGAAACAGTCTAATAACATTAGAGTGAGAAATCTGAGAGAAATCAAGTGCTCAAGAAATAAAGACACTAAAATTATCCTCCTAGCATTCGAAGATGTGCTATGATTGTGCTTTGATATTTGTCTTATTTTGTTTACTCAGTCACCCATTATAAAAATGTTTAACAGTTTTCATTCGTATATATCTGCTTACTTGTTTTATTTAGTTTTCCAAGCAGGAATCTAATATCATAAATTAGAGGTTCTCAATCCTGGGATCCGTTTCATGAGGCAGGTTTACAGAAAACTCCAAGTTGTCTAAACCTGAACACAGGGAAACTCTGACTTTTCCAGTTCACAAAGAGTTTCCTCAACCTCTGTTTCAGTTATCATAGTAACATTCTCCCCAGAGCTAAACTGGTCAGTAGCAGGTTTTCTTCAGTAGACTCGGAGTCCCCTCTGTCTTTGTGCTACTTACAACCAATCACGCTGTTTTATTTCCTGATACAGTCAGATTTTTGT